ATTGATACCTCCTCTGTGACCTGATACGGAAAATGTGCGTATTAATCTTCGTTTAGACCTACATCAGAATTGAGTAATAGAGCAGTCAGGTAAAGCTCCTTTATCATCGTCGGTACGTTTGCTACTTCAAGTGCTTTGATATTGGAAATATGCAAAGCTTCAGCGTTCTTTAGTTGTAGTTCAAAAAGAAAAGTTATCGCTTTCTCCACCCTCGAGCTAAAACATCCATTGCTTTGTGCACTGACTGAAGCACAAATCTAACGATACTATGGCCGCATGCTGGATGATTTGGTGTGAGGTAGCTTGGTGAGAGATAGTTTCACAAATTAACCAAAGCAGGTTACACAAACGAACCGTCGATGTTCTAAAGCGCGCTTTTCAGTCACCTGAACATCACTAAAAGGATGTTATGACAGGCCTTACATAAAGATTGTGTTTTAGCCCGTCTTGCTTGATGTCCCTCTTCAGTATTTCCTTTTGATTACCGCGCGCACCAGGGGACATCAGGATAAATACGTATCCAACCGGATGCGTGTATTAGCTAGCTTGCAGAGAGTAAAACATTTTCTACCTTGGTGGAAGATTTTAGTATTACTGGAATAAGTCTGTGTTCTCCATGGTGTGGCTAGATCGGTTAACCATTAAAGTGTAATAGGTTTGTGAGTTAGGCTTTACCCTTCAACAGCATGCACAATTAGTTCCATTGGTATTGGTCGTCCGATCGCTTACTCCGCAATGTGATGGCCGTAGATACATGGACATTTGAACTCATAACAATCAGGGCACTATAGTAAGATCCCTTTATCTTTGGCCTACAAGACAAGGGAATCGTCATTTCTGACCTACTGATGACTGTCGCTTATGTACTGTTTTATCTCTTATTGCGTTAACAGTATTTACAACAGAAGACGCCGCAACGGCGGTCTCCTGGCGGACCTTTGCAGCATTCTCTGCCTACGTACTTGATGTTCCCGGGGGATTTGTCTCGCCAAGCGACGTTTGAGCTACATGCACTTAGGGTTGGTGTTCGGCTGTTTCATCCTTGTTAATGCTGGATGTTAGGTCTAGTTTTATTTGGTTAACCGGAGTTTCCGAATGGTGCAAAATTTTCGTTGCCATGAGTATGTTTGACTCTCGTAAGTACAGTAAGTTTCCGCCCAGTGTTCTACAAAAGTTGAAGAAGACAGCGGAGATAGGGACGTAACTGAATGCATTTCAGCGGAAGCGGATTGTGCAGCTTTTCCTGGCTTAAAAGCTGCTACGCACCCGTGTTGCATACGGGTCTCCATTAAAGTAATCTTATCGTTTATCCTCTGCTCGGCTTCCGCAGTTAACCGGTTGCACTTCTGAACCAGGATAAGCAAGCAGGTAACAAGTGGGATGGTCTATCACGTAGTACAGAACCAAAGCGCATATTATGAGCTATTTTTTGCTCCCGTACCTGTTGATGGGATATGCTTGCACATTTCGGATGATAATATTCCAAAATTGCGAGTAAGCCAAACCTATTTTAACTAATCGATAACATTTTCCTATCCCGAGTACTACAGCCGGTCCCCTTCAGCCGACGAGATGCTCATCGGTTAGTTCGGCCTCTCACGTTGTTTATCAGTTCACCTGCGGTTGCGGTGACAGTTACATAGGCAGAACAAACCGTCAGTTTGTTCAGAGGGTAGCTGAACACTTGCCAACATGGTTGGGACAAGTGATTACGCAACAACATGGGACTAGTCTGAGAATCAATCGGAGCCCTGCATCGCCTATCACCAAGCACCTCATGACAACCCGTCATCACGTGAACCCCGAGACGTCGTTCAAAGTGTTATTACGTAACAAAAACCCGATAATGCTTGCAATTAGTAAGGCGTTGTTAATTAAGGCTCATCAACCTGTGCTATGTGCACAGAAACTTTTGAGGCAATCAATTCGCTTGACTTGGTCTTGACTGTGACATTTTGATTGGTGGTGCCCCCTTTTTCCATGTATATAATCCCGTATGTGTTTCTGATTGTATTGTGTTTGCGACTGATGAGAACAATCGGAATGCTGACATATCGCAACCTCTGTCTTCTTTCTGCGTTAACGAAATATCCTACGTATGTTCTTTGTTTGGTGAGTTTTCGGATTCGCATTTCCGCCATTCAACTTGGTGCCTTTACTTGATCTGGTGCGTTGGTTACCGTTCTGTACTTTTCCAGCTTTGAGAGAGGCGCACATCGGTCAGGTGAGCGTTGTGGTTGCAAGATCAACAGAGCTGTCGGCTTGATCGCGCTGTCCGTGCGATGGGTTATTTAGACACACTGCCTGGCAAGACCAAAAGGCATGGCTATTGACTGGAATCTAGGAACTAAAGCTGGACGCGGCCATGAACACAGATTGAGAGATCACCAAACTTTTTAAAGCTGCGTTGAGAAACAACTGATTGGAATAAATTTAGACATTTGGGAATGCCTCGAGAATTTTGTATCGAACAGTGTCACATAGAAAGGCAAACGGCTCAATGTGATTATGGTATTCTCTTGCGCTTAATCCCGGATGACAGTTAAAAGGTTTATTGGTGGTATGGACTTTAATGGTATAAACAAATGCTACGGAAGATATCTCGCTGGGAAGGACTAGCAAATCCGGTTCGAATGAGCGCGTAGTGATTATGCTGCGAGAAGATCGAAAGACAATAGACAGGAATAATCCAGATGACCCAGGAGCATGCTCGTCACGCGTGTGTGGATGGCCTTGAATGGAATTTAAACGGTACAAATGTATCATTGTAAAATATGCAGTAGTTAGAAAATTAAAACATGCCGCCGGCCATTTTCGCTCCTTAATATCCAATTAATTGGTCAATCTCAAGTGGAATACTTGAGGTCGCAGTCTGCACATGTTTGCTGAGTCGATGAATCTCACGCACTATCTAGGCTTCAAAACACAAGTTAAGTGTATACATCCCCATCTTTCTTAACGGGAAATTAAGGATGGATCTAACTTTAGCAGATTTACGTGGATCACTTGACCGTGTATATTGCAAATTCGGCCATTCTATTTTGCACTAGTGTAATACTTCAAGTCAGTTTAAAACATGAAAGAGAGAACAAAACAAACAAACAAAAGGATACATGATGTCTACGGAAAGTAAAGTGTTTGTTTAACAAGATGTACTTCAACTGCCAGAAGCTTTCGAACATAAACAAAGTAACTTACTAGTACATACATGAAGAAATAGCTGGTCGGTCTGTGCTTAGCCACTAGGATGTGACAAATATCATCATCGAAGAGTCTAGCGAACGTCAAAAAGTACCCGTTAGATGTTAAGAATCGAAAAGCTAATACAACTTTTACGAAGAAAGAATAACTGATACCACTGCAAAATTTCCCTGATGTGGTCGTTTCAAGACCCGCGGTAGGGACCCTTGGTGGTGTTATACCTTACTGCGTCACATATCGTTTTAAATATTTCAAGTAGCCCAAAATAAATACTTGATATTTATTGTGTAATTAAAACCTTGATTTGGTGTATAATCACTTTGTTCATTACGCAGCGATGTGGCGCAGGACCAAACCGTTTACTTCTATACGTTCAGATGTGATTAGATGTAGCTGTTTGAACAGCTGTATCAAAGCTGAGTACACCTGCGTCCAGATTCACATGTCACTTTTAATGTGATCATTAGCATGCTGCTTTCTAAGCTAGCAGATTCTCGTCATTTAGCTACTGTCTATCCGTATCGTAATCAATGAAGACGTGAATGGTTGATACATGATATGCGGATGGGGGCCAAGACCAATTCCAACCACTTCTATACAGGGTTCACTCAAAAATTATTGTACCATTTGGAGAGAGGGGGCATACCTACCTGGCAAATAAAGGATAGTATTTAAGTATAAAACTTATTCCGTTTTAATACTAAGGATTCTGTCAAGCTCTGTCAACATGAAGGCGAGTTCCCCCACCCTCCGACAGCTAATAACAGTCACCTTGAGCCAGTAGTTTGGGGAGGCGCTAAGTGATCATTAGCTACCGAGCAGTGGCAGCGGCTATTTCAGTGAACGGCAAAACTCAAGTACTTACTGCTAATTCACGCATATTCCGGTTGATTTGTTAAAATTTTACACGTTTTTGTGAACTCCACTATTTGAAATCACCTAACGAGTTGGAAAAACTGGTATATGTAATACACATATGAACACATTTGTAATAGGACACGCACAGTGGTCTACCTGTGAGTAACTATTCTAGTCGCAAAGGAACCAATCTAACTAGGGTGAAAAATGTAACCAAATTGCATGGCGCTAGGTTTTACTGCAAGTCGGAAAAACACCCGCCACCTTAGGAACCAAGTGTTATCAACCCCGTCGTCAAAGTTAACCTTATGTCTACATATCGTATCTTCTTAAATAACTCTCTTCTGTGTGTTCATGCAACCTGCAAGACACCAATTGGGTAACAGGCCCTCATCAGGTGTCATCACTGTCTTCTGCTGACAAAGATGTAATTATGGGCTGGAGGTACGCTTTCATAATTTGACTACTGGCAAGACATACACGCGTGCATCTTCCTCAAAATGCAGCTCTAACCTGAGCTTATTAAGTGTAATGGCATCGGGTTGTTTGTCAATAATCGTCAACATTCAAGATCCCTTCCTCGGTTGCGTTAACTGCTAAGACTGAAGCCGATCATTGCACTGAGGTGCATTACCGGAGAACATGGTAAAACTACCTACAGGTATGATAGCACTAAATTATTAATACTGTGGTTAACGACTGAGATCCAGAACATCTTATGTGAACCACAAGTATTTAACCCAATATGGGATTCTACAATCCGGACGCATAGTATTGATAACAATTACCTAACCAACCACAGAATTATATAATTGATTATCGGATAAGGAAAGCTATAAATTTTTTGACATTCCGTAATAAACTCCCAGTTTTATATGTGAGCTAGTTGTTTCTACATAATGGAATAAAATAAAACGGACAAAATTATTTGGAGCACTAACCTTGACCATAGCTGGAAGTGGGCAACATGACAGCTACCACTGTCATGAGTGCATAGCATACCCATGAAGTCGGAATCATTGTCTGCAAATTCCACATGGTGTAAGGTGCACCCATTCAAAATTTATCTCAGCAGCATCAAGGTCGCGAGAGTTGCATGCGTGCATAACAATAATAGCTGCTGCCAAGTCAATATGTAAGGAAATTAATTTTAACAGCGGCGTAACAAACTAGATTGCGAACGTGACCCCTGCGTCATCTTGAGGGAGATACTGTGTGATTTGGCGGAGTCTGAACACCCATCACTAGAGATTATGCCTAAATATGTAAAGCTTGATGATGCAAATTAAGAACGTACGGATTAAATATTTAAGTTTATAGTTCGTGTTTGATGTCTGGTTGACACAAACAGATAAAGTGAAATCAAAGCGCGTCGACTGCCCTTCAGTGGTCTCTAACCTTATAAGTTTTCTTCCTACTCATTTTTAACCACTGGTTATGTAACAATTCCGCAGTATATGAAGCTTGGTTATATGGAGGCAACGCCCAGATGCAGTCATGTGCGACAGCTTGAGTTAGAATACGTGACGAGCGCATACTATTTTCTGTTTCCACTTTTATGCATGCAGTACAGCCACACCCTTAAGCAATATCAAGCAATACCTCCTTGTCAAACAAGGAGAGTGCAAACATTAGACTCGGCAGTCAGTTACTTCAACAGCTGTTCGAATAACTGTTGAGTCCCATGTTGAGCCATGATCTCAACTTCCAGTTATGCCACGCTTCTCACTCACAGTTGGTTCCATATGATTGTTAATTTATTTGATGTTTGCAATAAATAGTCATTTTCAATGTAGTCTGTCAGCATTTAGATGTTTGGGAATAAGTAATCAAATTGTATGCATAGTCGATTATCTGTAATAAATGCATGGAGAGAGAGGCGCCGCATGGTGTGATCATTCACCGATCTGTCTTCAGGTGGTTGAATTCGACATTATATAAAAAATTGGGTTTAATCCTTAGTAAGTAGGTAAAAAGCGCACATTCGTTTAATTAAATTCCAAAGTTATAAACTTATGTATGAAAGAAACCAGTGCAAACTTATAAAAATCTGTTCGAAAGCATGAAAATCAATCAGCCTTAAACATCGGGAAAAGCGTCAGCGAAAATTCTCTTGTTTGCAATGGCTTTCCATCAGGCTAATACACCACACATGAAAGGCATAGAAGCGTGAACAACATGTAAGGGTACATGTCTAAGTGGTCTAAGATGGTCTAAGTGCTCAAGCTAGGTGATTGGTCCCATAGCGATCAAGGTCTTGTGTGTGTGGTGTTAGCCAGACTATGAGTCAGCGGTACAAAAACTTGTTCTCTAACTTTTATACTGAAATCAGTTATTTATTAAGTGGTTCATTGTTTCCAATATTTGCGCTCAAAATCATAATAACACTGTAAGATGTTGCAAGCAGAAGGCACATACTTCACGGTTGCATTCCTGTAGCACTATCGTCTTATATAAAGGTTGTTGGCCAAGTGCAACACCTAGAGCTTTAAGATCTCTCCAGTTTTCGCTACTATTGTTCGTGAATCGCATGGCATTACATAGAAAAAAACGAATATGCCACTTCGAAAACAACAGAGTTTTCTTCCGAATGTCGCTGGTTATTATGTCTCAAGAAATAGAACTAGACGATCATCAATAATGAGGCTGTCCTGAGGCCAACTGCAGACGCTGCGAGTTTGGTTAAGAGGATTTTACAATGTGGAACACGCGATGACCACCTAGTCACGCAATGGATACTGCTTAACGTACCCAAGTTGTCAACAGGCTTACGATGACTAATCTTCAAGCACAGCTAAGCCGCCGTACAGATTAGTACAAATCAGTGCTTCCATAATATTTATCTAACTCCAATTTTACAACTTAGTTGAGGAATATTGTTGTAGGGTTAAACATGCATTGCTTAAAATGTCCGCGTGATGAGGAGAATTTACCAATAAAAACAGGATAAAAAACGAAGGCGTTTTTTGGCGGACCAACCATGGTGTTGGCAATGTGAAGTGTGTAATAGGGTTAAGATTTTCACAAGATACAAGTCTAAATCCGCTAATTTGAATTTTGGATATACATCGTTTGGTTGAGTAATGAAGCTCACTCTCTGACACCAGGTAAAAACTGGAGTGTCAACGGGAGAACACTGTCAAATCGTTCTCTTAATATCGTTACCTTAGTGCTCAGATGCCATATAACTTAAGAGAGCGTTCCACAGCTGGCACACGCGAAGAAGGAACTAATTTCTCTGACATTCCAGATGACGTAATATAATATCTTCTTTAAAGTGTAACATTTTAGGTGGGAGTTTCTATTCGGATCCAGCGGCTTGCGGCAAATATGATCCGGGTCATTTTCCGGATCTAGTAAACCATTTTGACTTCCCACCGCCAGCGTTAATATACACTGCTGACCCTTCCTAAAGAATTCAATCTAAGGTGGTACGGCAGACGGAAGACGCTCATAATTTTGGGTATCCTCAGTTGAGGTCTTCATAGAGTAACGAGATCTTGTTTCTACCACGGGTGCCATTCCTGAATACCGTTTGCCACAAACAACCGCACACGAACGTTAAGCGTCTCCAGGAAAACTGAGGGCCCAAACCGAATGAGGATCTGTGAAGCATGCCGACGTGTTGATTGTTGGTTCGCGACGTTGCCCGGGACTGTTTCGAGCAGCCGAGATTTTCCTGAACCAGTATCCCAAGGTTACGCTCCTGTAGGGCCTCCCGTAAGGTGTGAGTCTTAAATGTGTAAACGCTCACCGACTTAGGACACATGTGTATAGATTTGCACATAGCTGCGTTAAACTGGACATAGACACAATCCAGGTCAGGTTAGAGAAAATGGAGATCTTCGCTACTATTATTCACTCACCATATTTTAACATTACTGGTAAACAGCAGAAAATTGTAAGTGATGGCTCTTACCGATTTGTTGACCAAAACCAGGAATAAGCGCTTTCGTTAATTAATCTCTATTGTCACGCCCATAATCAGGCAAAGGGTAGACCGCCGCCTCCACGTCCATTTGTACTGGCGCAAGAAAGTCTACTTTCATTTCATCCTTTACGGTGCCTTTACAATTACCTTCCAGTTGGTTATAATGTAACTGGGACCACTGCTGCATTACTGACGACATACATTATGCCTAGGCAAGCAATTGGAGCAAATAATAACACAAAGTATGGTAACAAATTTATACGTATATACATCTTGCTCCCAGCAACTCTGTCTGTAACGCACAGATGATGTTTTGTGAAAGTATGCATGATCTTGCATGTGTGATATTCATAGTTGAAATATTGTGGCGTGCGATTCAAATAATATCTCTTTGGTGGATGCTTAAGGCGAAGACCAACTTTGGGGAACACTAGTGCTTAGGTGCTTTCTAATCTCTCTTGGAATAGCGCATCCACGAATGTTTCCATTGTGAATATACTCATTATGGTATTTAGGCCAAGGTAACTAAAGAAGTTGCATCTAAAGCTTTTTGCATTTTCACATGACCTGATTGTGATTGGCTGTTTATTCCACAGATAGGTACAGTCCAACCTGATCTAGCGACCGTGATTATGGCGAACATCTGTCCAACCAGGTTACATTTGTGGGTCTCTTTAATGGTCGCTTTAGACATCTTCGACTGTATACCCGATCAGGAATAAATTTGAGCGTTTGTCCAAGCCTTTGGTATATTCAGTAAATAACCTTGTTTGGTAGCTCTTAAGCTGTAATATGCTACCTTTCGAGCGTATGCAGACCAGAATAGGTGTTTATGGGTAACCGGTTGAAAAACATCAAGATGACATGCTTCAGTAGTCCAATCCACAATGGTTCGAGTTGAAGGTCGTTACCACACCCTTGATAATTTCTGGCAGTGCTTACCAATCAATGTGTAACAAGAGAATTGTGCAGTTGTTCCACGGCAATGCTGTCAACAGTGAACTAGAAGTTTCTGTCTGATACGTATAAAAACAGCGCCCAATAGTGCAACATTATAACATCGAATGCATGCATTGGTCTTCTATTTAGTTGTATCCCATCTAACCTTTGCCACTCTGGGCTGTCGTCACCATCATATCCTGAAGTTTAGCAGGTGTTTTCTGCCCGTAGAATTATTCCATCTCCACAATACGTTACACGACAAAGACTATCTGCCACTCCAGAATGTGGACATGCTGAGCTGTCTATACAAGTAATACAAGTATGCTCAATCAACTGTCCCATGGATGAGCGGGAGATTATCCTCGATCTTGACAGCACTCGCTGGCCCAGCGATCAGTTGGTCCGTCTAACTAAGGCCAGGCTGTCCCACTAGCTTAGGGTGGTCTATGCGTTACCGAGAAGGGGATAATGTGCTACAATTCTATTTACATTCTGCACACGTCGCGATCTTGTTCCTGCTGGTGTGTGGGAGCAGATCTGTTTGGTACAAAGGGGTTTGTGTCATTTGTTACCTAAAGAACGCGACGGTAACCGCGTTATGGTATTAAAATTAATTGAGAGCTATTCACACTAAATTTCAGGCCAAGGGGTATTCCAGTAGCTCGTACATATTAGACGGCCGTTTCGTTATTTCAATACTTGATGGAAATGAGCATCTTTCGGTGCTACCAAGATCCGAAACCATAAGAACCAGCGGCTTGGGACACCAGCAGGCAGGTTCGGTCAATGTGACACGGGGGATCTCGAAGGACCTTTATAACCTGCAAGCCAAGTGAAAAGTAATGCAAATGAACATTCATAATCATGAAATTTATGAGCGTTGCAAAGGACAAGGTTGCCATATAGGTACACTTATTGCACAAATATAGGCTTCCTGCTGCATACTGGCCGACAGGCTCCAACGTATGGGCTAATAAAATAATAAAAGTGATGTAAGGTTACAACACACCAGCCCATCACACAAACAATTATGCTCCCAAATGATAATTCACTTCATTAAGCATATCTGTATCTCCTAGGGAAAAGAGGTTTTGCTCGATGTTGGGAATGGATAACTGACTTGATCATCCACGTAATTGTTTTACATTAGGCTGCCCTCTGTCCATTCGTAGCTCCTTGGTTTGTGTGGTCAACTCCATCTCCGTTTGTGTGTCAGTAATGGACGATTGTCGGTTCGACGAATGAGGCTCGAAGGAGCATAGTTGTACATGAACTAATGTGTTCAGCACAAAGTTTAAGTCTGCTATGGTAGTCATAGCCATCCAAGGTTTCACAAGTTACCAACTTACTTCCTGAGGCAACCCAATTTACGCTGGGTCTACCTCAATCAGTGATTTCTTCCGGCAAATTATTATGCCAGCGCATTTTATCCTACTTCACGTTCATACTTATTCAGGCCTTTGGAACAAGCTGGTGCAACGTTGTCCATCAGAAGCGACAACCGGCAGCTTTACTGTCAACGCAGACAGAATCGTGTTCTAAGCGAACACTTAACGATACAGCTTTGGTGACAGAACTCGATCACACTAATTGAGACTCTGTTGCTTTATGGTCTAAATCACAAGCTCTACAAAACCTTTCGACCCGGGGAGTTACAGGCCAGCATTGAGTTACTGCAATCGATCCATGCCCTGAAGTCCAGTAAACCTTCAACCGTAATATACTTTTGTCCGTGTGCACCGCTTTTGGAATACCAAAGCTGTCGAAGATGAAGCGTATCCATTTGCATTCTTGATGCTTCTTCACCGCAGTTGGGCTAAACCAACTTACACTTAAACTAGGTCTTTTTAAGCTGGCTAAATTTCATTCCGCTTTATTTGGTTTGTTTTGCCTCCCTGAATATTGTTCTATTAATTGGTCACGTTGCTTACACTAATTGCGCTTATCTTCGGTAATTTTGTTGCGTTTGTAGCATTTTAAGTAACTTGTGGACTTTTCTTACTTATCACGGATTTGTTGCTAACCAACTTACTTCATATGCTAACTTAGCGAAGAGTTATGCAACCGTATCTGTATGCATTATTGGATTTCTTTTATTTCAGCTTGTCGTTTAAAGTGAATGGCTGTTGTTTGATATCCCTGGTATGGTTGCGCTTGATGTGTATGTTGACAAGGTGCCTACCTGTCTATTACCCACTACGTCGTTCATACTGGCTCCAGGAGACAGTTGGTCGTTGCTGGAGGGGACGGGGTGCACGGTTCATGTGGCCGTGCTAGGCTCAAAGAGTGGTTCCATGCACTCAGTGTGGAGCGGACTACGGTCCATCCACCGCCTTGTGTGCGGTTGATTCCCCAAATACAGTGTGCTTGTGTTTGCCTGTGAAGGAGTGTAGGCCGGCTCCGTTGATGAAACCTGGCTCCCATCCACATGCCTCCCGATCTTATTCCTTCGGGTTTACACTGGATATGGGGTGTGTGGTTGGAGCTGTGGGTGGTACGGCGCAAGCCATCCATTGTCCCTCTGTAGGCGCAGGCGTCCTGTGGCTTGCCACAGTGACAGGCAGATCCGAAACCGGATGCCGCCAACCATATGGAACTGGGTGCAATTATTTCACCTGTATTGCACACTGATCAAAAGTTAAGATGATTTGCCCCTCAGCAGGCCAAATTTTTCTATAGCTACCAGCTGTCAATGTCTTTTCGGTCAATACCACTTGCCTAGTGCCTGGAGAGTTTGCACTGCTGGTATATTTCAGATAGACTGTAATCTTTCAGCAAACGTTCCTAATACTCATTACTAGTTACGAAACAAAACATACATATTGTCCATGCCACATAGTGCGTCATGTACCCCTATTATTAAGAGGGACGTAAGTCATCCTGTGAAGCAGCGCATTAACCTCGTAACACACAGCACATATCTTCAAATTCACATCTATGGCTTCAGCATGGAGAACACAAGGTACGCTTCATTTAGGCATGGTAACAACTTGGTTGTCTATTTTAAATGTAGCACCAGACTGAAAAAATCCTAGGGGTCTCGGTTTTCCCTATTGCGTTATGCTGAAGACAAATAAGATTCCGTGGATCCAAAATTTCTTTACCAGACCCTTTACCATAGTCTTTACCAGACACCCTTCTCTTTACCATTAAATTGGTTCGAGTACACTGTGGTGTCCAAATGTCTTCCCAAACGCAGTGGATGAACTTCTTGGCCACTAAAACAGTGACCATTAATTAGTCTGTACAGTTTGGAGGAATTCATCATAATTGGTTGTAGGTACTGGAAGTAAAAACAGTTTGGCAAATTGAACCACCGTTTGTCAAGTGTTATGGATACATCATCGCGTAACACTTAAGGCCGGTTCGAATAATATTGCATGATTAACTTGGAAACATTAACTGTCTTGCTCATCTCTGTAGACACTTTACTTATGTGGACCGAAAAGCAACAATACTTGCTTATGTGACATTAAAGACCATGAAGCCTATCTTGTTTCGTTGATAGGAAAACATTTCAAAAAGATATAATCGCTCCATGTATGTGTTCAGCTTTGTTTTCTAACAAGTGCAAATCCCTTCTTTTCTCTCGTATACCCATTTAACAAACGGAGTCTGACAGATAAGTGCTATTGGTTCTATTCACTTTGCACTCGCATACCTGGAGTCATTTTAAGTAGGGTGGACAGCACTTGTGAGCGTTCAACAACAACGCATACGAAAATCCACATTTTGTCCAGTGGGTCATAAGTGAAGAGAGCAAATTCAATCAGGTTAACTACGATTCTTTAGAATATCCCTGGGAGTAAACTTGTACCAAAAGTTAGGTGCTTGTTTAGACACAGACACATGAGCTTACTTATCGTAGTTCATACAGAGGTGGCCGGGTAAAATTAACTAGTAAATTTACGTGACGCTCATCAATATACGTGAAAGCATGCTCGCCGGTAATAACCGTGAACGAGTCCTATCTCTAGAGTAAAGCTTCCCACGCAGATTAAAACAATCGTCAACAGCAGTATGCTATTCACCCAAAACGATCCGGTTTTTATGATGGGACTATGGGCGCACCAAGCCCACACTATTAGACTGGATCAATTTTTATGGTTGATTGTAATCTCTTAAACTGGTCTTTTATTGTGCCCCAAAGAATACCGTTAGAGCTTGTAGCCTAAAGAAGCGGGACACCTTGCTATTTGTTTGATATCCGCTTAGTTATTCCAACTTAAGTTCAAGCACTCCATATTAATTGCTCAGTACCTCATCGAGACTCTGATTAATAGACATTTACATCCTCATTTCTACTGTCGCCTGGTGCATGTTGCCTAGATGCGCTGGTTCTGGAGGATCACTCTTTCCAGCGTTTACTGTAAAATCCGTTATTTCAACGGTGCTTCACATCAACCGCTCACTTTCTTAGGTTCGGCGTGGGTTGCTTGTAATACACCTCAACACTGATTGACATGGGACAGGTTAGGTTTTCTTTTAACAAACTAGACTTTACTTGCATTCGTATTGCCCATCATGGATGACTACAACAGTTGTTTGAGGTTGTGTTTCAAATCGTGCTTAGTGGAAGGTCGTCTTCGTCTAAAGAATGTACGATATTCACAGGATTAACCAGATATGGTATTGTCACTGATGTGGTGGACTTGTCAAGTACAGCTTTATAAGTCAGACTATTGAGCTAAATGTTCCGGTTGGAGTCTCTCAAGTCAACCTCTTTTCATCCAACACCTAGTGGATTATACGTTTGAAGTAAGAGTCAAAACATTCAGAGGAAAACATATTTTAGGAATTGACAACCGGAGAGTATATTCTGCCATCTTCTTTATCACCTTGCAGTAGTCTTCATCTCTGCATTTTGAATAAGGGACTGCCGCTGAGATTGCATGCAACTCGTCCTTCAAAGCAAAGGTCGCATTCCACATGGTTCTCTCTAGATCTCTGCTAGACCTGAGTGCCTGTATGTGGCATTGATTCTTACTATTCACCCTGTTGGCATCTATGAGGTATCTTTGACTTTAAGGTTGCGCAGATATTGACAATGAGTAAAGCATAAAATTGAAGTACACTATTCGCGTCTGGAGATAGTGATTCAATGACTCAAGGTAGTTATGTTATCGGCATCGTCTTCGACAACAATGCCGATAAGGAACCTAATCGACTAGATACCAGTGAGCAACTACATGTGTGCTTTTCGACTTCCATCCTCCATGTAGGTGGAGTGTAATATGAAGGGCCAGAAGGTGCCTTCTGATCGTTTCTACGTAAGTCCCACCGATTGCAATTCGGAGGGCACAAATACGAATTCCATCATTGGACCTCTTCTCTTCTAAGCACTACACGGTGTATTGACATGGCGATTATTACTGTTGATTCCTGCAAATATGTGCTTACCACTATCTTAATCTTAGCCGCGCTGCTTTGCAACGAAGTTCCTTAACTCGTGCCACAAGGGAGGCACCGAGTTCGAAATAAACTGAAGCTAAATTACCTACAATATCCGTAGATAGCGCACATCAGTCTAAGATTGCATGTCAAATTTGAGCACGGGCCTGTATACGCAAAAATCTCTCGTGCGCGAGCACATAAGACCTACACTTCTCCCTCCAAACCTATCTAACTTATAAGGTACTCAGTCAGAACTTGAACTCGCATTCCACCACCCCACAATAGGATGACGGACTGACATCTCGTCGTCAATGATGAATACGGTTGGTGACAGAACACTGACTGCTAAGAACTCAAGTGTGCCATAAACAATGCCTTTGAAACATGCGAATGTCCAACTTGGGTTTACACCGGATATGGGGTGTGGGGATGGAGCTTCGGATGGAGTGGATGGTCCATCTGTGGATGCAGGCGTCCTGTGACTATCATATGGAAGCAAATCGGGGACCGGATATCGCCAAGTAAAACCAACTTGAAAATTTCCTACGCACAATAGAAAGTAACAGAACGTAAGTGAAGCACTAGGCAGTCTTCTACATGCAAAAGTCGTCAGCACGGGCGTGGTAGGACCCTTGACATTTTCGCCGAATGCAGGAATCGAGTGCGTATGGATCGGCTGGCAAATGCAAGCCCGCTTCAAAGGAATCGAACTGTTCCGTCAATATAATAAACCCGTGGAGCGAAATTCATTCACATTGACTGAAAACCAAACGCAGAAGAGTGAGTGAAATTGACCACCGAGATTAGCATCTTTCGTTTACCAATACATAATATGGATTTATCCCGTAGATATACCTTTTTTGTCTACCGAATTCTGGCCTTTTTTATTCCTGCGGTTGGTTGCGCACGTGACTGAGCAGTC